AATTATTTGGACATTATGTCTGCGATGGACTGATCCATCGTCTAAGTCAAGGAGTTGATACATTCTTTGACTCATTTGATTCAACACCAATTCTCTTGAAGGACGTAGCTCGTTTCCACGATGCTAAATTACTTCAGCTGATTCCAGATTAAGAACATTGTTACAAAGTATACGATTTTTGAATAATTTGGCCGGACTGCTCTCCGTAGCAGTATGAGCAGACTTCCTGCATAAGGAAATTATCAACACCTCTGTCCAAATCAGTGAAAGTCGATATGCGGCAGGATGCAATTGCCCTCCTCAATGTCCGAACGAAGTTTTCTGCTGCACCGTTTGACTATGGATGTCGAGGTGAGGTTAGTACGTGTCGGCAGCCAATCGATTTTAACCAATCCGTCACGTTCTTCGCTGTGATGTGACTACCGTTATCAGTAACCACAGCTTGTGGAACACCCTCCCGGCTGAACGTCTTCCAGAAAGCATTTATAGTGAATTCTGCGTTGGGTGACGTAGTGAAATAAACCTCAGGTCACCGTGAATAAGAGTCAATAGTCACTAGAGCGTAGTATTTGTGTACGAAGGGACCACAGTAATCAGCAAGAACTCGCTGCCAGGGTTCGGAAGACATTGGCAAAAGGGTCCACTTAGATGATTGTGTGCGAACTTTGTGGATGCAGTCACTAAATGATTTGACTACTCGACACGAATCACTGTTAAGCCCCGGCCACCAACAAGTCAAACGTGCGAGTGATTTCATCTTATCAGTATCGAGATATCTCGAATGCAAATCACTCAGCACTGCAGAGCGTAAAGATGGAGGGATGATTGTTCGGTCGTTGAGACAGTATTCCATCACAAAACCGATTTGATAGTGCACTCAACCAAAAGATCTTGTCTGTGTATATACAAAACGCCGAACGGAACACACTCATTTATAGGCCATCAACATCATTCTCATCGAACAGCGTAATGCAGTGAAGCGAACTTCACTGATCGCTGCCAAACTAGCAATGTATACAAGAGAACTGAGAATGTGCGAACAGGGCGGGGATTGGGCCTACTTTTATGGACGCTAGACGAAAGCGAATCTTTATGTTCACCACACATTGTACACAGGCCGACTGTGCACACAATATTTCAAGCATTCTGGTCTGATAAGAAATGACAACTGTCGGTATTTCTGCCATGACCTTCAGTATCTCTAGCCATGCGGCTACGAAGTCTATGGGATTCTAACCGTAGGACGAGAGACACCGACTCTACCTCATCGCTCTGAGCACTTCACCATGCCTCGTCTCTACGTCATCTGCTGGTCTCCTTGTGGCTTTCTCCAGTCTTCAACAATTACTACAAACAAAGAGCACTGTGGTAAGCAACTGTCAGACACAAAACATGTCTTAACCAATACATCCTATTGAGGTGAATTCGATGCGATAGCGAGTTTTTCCTCGATGCATTTCCGAACACCCGACGATTTACTTCTAGGTTACTAACCCACTCACTTCCTCCTAGGTGCTCGCGTATACATTAAGAAGCGAGACAATGATGGTTGCAATATACACAAGCTAATTTTCTTTTTACCAATCAAAATTTCTGTTCCCTTTCGTAACGTTGTCTTTGTCTCTAGTTATTCCCTTGATGTTCAGGAAAATCATAACTCACGGCTACCTAACTCCGCGTATTTGTTTCAGTATTGTGGAATTGTTCTTCCATCCACATGAGCTGGTGCTACAAGACAGGATAATCCTGGATCACCGGATCCCACAAACGGAATGTTTTTCGCAAAAACCAGTGCAGTAAGTCATGTATGGGTTTTTTATCCACTACTCTAATTCACCCACTAATTGGCAGTCATGAGACAGCAAGCAAAACCGACGCAGAGTTCAGAGTTGTAAAAGCTGAAATTGTATGGGTTTTATGTTCTTGAAACGCGTTACATATATATATATATTCTATTTCACTGTAAAACAGTTTACTTTTTTCTGACTGAAATATTATCCCTCAAAGTAAGATTGTTCGTTATTGAATAAGATAACTTGTTATTTCATGGTGGTTTTTCTCAGCGTTTTACGATACTAGTCCGTGTGGATTATTCTTTCTCTATTAAAACTTTTTATGACGTTCGTTGCAAAACTTACATAAATTTCAAAATCGAAAGAATTCCGGTAGAAACCAAAGAAAATGTCAAGTGAAAGTCTTGTTAATATTGTACAGCTATGGTAACCCCGTTCAGTATCATCAGCTGGCGTGCAGTAAACAAAAAATGTCTTATTCCCCCAAGTTGACTGTTTTTGTTTTCCTCGTTTTTGTACCTATATTTTTCCTTAAACCACGGTTATTTTGTCGGTGTATCTGTAAAGACGTGTATACAGCAAATGAAGCGTGAGCTGAAAATCCAGGAAGCACTGGAGAGCTGTTTCGACCTGGTCGGGTCTCATCAGCAGTGCGAATATATATATATATCTGGTTATAAAGAAAATACTTTAGTGCATCACAATCGGCCAGTGCCGTTTATATACTCGCAGTCGGACCAACCATATCCGCTGTGTGGTCATGTCAAATAAACTTTTATCTATTTTTTTAAATTTTTTAATTACAATCTTTCGCATGATGAACAGCTGACGGGGTGAACCCCATGGTCACGAGGATCTGCTGTTCAGTGATGGAAACCGGTAACCTAAAACCCGGGACTTGGACTGGCGAACCACATAAGGCTCCGCTAGTTCAGGTGTGGTATAGAACCGAATGACAGCAAAGTTGCCTGCCATCAAACCTAAACTAAACTCGAAACCCCCCACAGCCAGAATAATGCATTGAACGACCAAACAGGCTTTAATTTTAGTTATTCACAGTAGATTTTATTCGACAATTAAAATAAAACGTGAAGCAAACACAAACATCTTTGACTGTGCTATTGTGCCCTGTTATCTAAACCCGGTCAGTTGTTAAATTTCGCCTTCCGTCATTTCCTGCTCGAAACTAAGCGAGCCGAGCTTTCAGTAGCATATAATTACACGTTTAAGCTGAGGTTCGAACGCTGGTTAATACACCCATTTTTCACGGTAGAGAGCATTCTGTAGCCCAGTTTCATTTGGCGCCTACCTAATTTATCTTTCATCGTTTTATTTTACTTCCTTTGATTGAATATACAAAGATACAATTTTCAGCAAAGGGGGAAGCGGCCAATTAAAGGACTGTCGTTCAACACAATGGCGAGTCAGGTGGTGTTAATGGGATTCGAACACACATCCCCAGGGTGATAATTTAGTGACGTTACCACCGCGCAATTCTAAATCGAAGGACCGAGGATTCCTGTCATCTTAACGGGATGGTGGATGTCTTTGCCTGGGGGATTCATTCATTGTCCTGCGGAATAAAACAAATGTGTGATAAACGTGTTTTCAAGAAAGGCTGTGCTAGTTTTGCAGATTTTTCCTCTCCATACTCAACCTTCCATTCAGGTATCACCGTGATACCCTCAGTCATCAATTGAACCGGGTATGAGGACATCAATCGGGCGATCCGTTATCGCGTACATGTCCTTTGGTTTTGGTTCTTCCCACCAAGTTAACTGCCTTCTGTGTGCTTCCAAAGTCTAACTACCTTCACGAAGACGTAATTCCGAACAAAACCATTAGATTTTATGCCCAATACGCACTCCTCCACCTATACTTTGCTTCAAAAATTCTGCTCCTATGTCAGTTTTCAGCTGAAATTAACCAATGCTGCTAGTATGGCATCACTACAACTTGTTTAGTCGCTCACGTTCTGTGATCTGTGTTTATAGAAATAAATAAAAGTATGAACAAGTAGACGAATTGTGCGTAAATTCACAGCAGGTATAGATCTGTTTGTTACAACAATCTACGTCTACTTTGTCGTTGAAATGGCAGTAGTTATCTAGATGTTGGTAGTGAAGCCGCTTTAACGCAATCTTCCTGTATAGATCCCGGACAGGTCTATGTACAAACATCAGGTCATGTCACATGGACAATGGAAACAAGATGATTCTCATCAATTCAAAATCATGATAATCAATACTCATTTTCGTTCACATCTTTCTTCCGGATCATTGGACAAATGAGGACATGAGTTCAGGCTTTTGTTCTTCTGTTGAATTCTCTATTGTTTCACAGAAATTCATTGGATCAACAATTTTTCCTGCAAGTCGTAAACCAGGGGAAGACCCGTGGAACCTATCTTCTGTCATTCTGACTAAATTCTTCAAATGCTATCTTGATTGAGGTACACATGGTTTATTTTTACTTGACTATCTACCTGCGACGAAAATGTCTACCTAATTCATGAGTACAGTGAAGATAAGATACGGAGCGATATCTCTAGCACCGTCCGGGCTTTTTCCAGCTGGATCTCTCGGTCAGGATTAGGAGATTGTCTAGTCACACCTAATTCAAGTTGCAACTCTACGCTTTTCACATCTGTGTGCAGCCTGCCAGGTAGAAGAGTGTTTCCAGACGAGCCCACAGCCTTATTTTGCATTTCATCGCCTCTTGCAGAAAAACCGATCGGGTAGATGAAGTATGATAAGAAGGGTGGAGGGCATCAATCTTCGGATTGTAGTGCAATCCACAGACTTATGCAGCATTTTATTGCACTAACCAGGCTGAAAACCGCCTTGTTGATCGTCCACGAACGCGTTTTGGACAAAGCATAATCACAGTTAATCTATGGATTGCTGTTTGACCTGCTATCAGCAAACAACTATACTCTCGAGTGAGCGACATACGTTTGAACTTTTCTTTCTGACGTACCTTGATTAACGTGAATTGGTGATAACTATCGTTCACCCCATTATACCGTTTCTCGGGAATTCCTTCGCCTTCACCGCCTTCTTGAATAGAGGTACCAAAGCAACTCAAGCGAACGCATTAAACGTTGTTAAGTGCAAACTACAGGCTAATTGAAAATGACTCAAACTCGGATAACCCATTTAGTGCTACAGTTAGTAATTTTTCTTTTCTGTTCAACTTTCGTTACAGGTTGGAACCACCATGCATCCAGTTCCCGCAGGTTTGGCAGTCGTTAATAGACCACGTCCGGCATTCGTGGGTGCCACAGACAATTTCATTTGTGGTTCCATGGACAAAACATATGAACCCGTCGGACTGGTTAATCGATTTAGTTGAACTCATCGGAAAATTCAAAACAAGCGGTTAGTTCATGTTCACAACTTTTGTCGGGCTCATACAAACAAACAGTAGCATGTTTACTAAAATTTGACTGCATCCAATGTCTTTCATTTATTTGTCTCATAGATGAAGCGAGTTCACCGATCACAGAAACAGAGAAAACATACAACGCACCGAATAAAAAAAACAGATGTGGAAAAAGGGGGAATCACTGGAATGTATGTCTGAGGTAATTCGAAAGGCGTAAATTGAACTTTCAGTTTTGTGCGAGTGGCTTGAGTCTAGCTTTGGTGTGCAAACAAGCGTGTAGAAAATAGTCTCCTTTAACTTGTCCATCGGAGTGTTTAGATTGCCCAGGAAAGTTCATCAGTTTCACTTTCAGTTTGTACAAACAGTAACCGAGCATTTTCATGCACCGGTTTTGGTTGAAAGTAGAATCGAACATAAAATGGCGAATTTCAGTGAACTGAGGTTTGCAAAGAAATTTAGAAAATGCACAAACGCCACTTTTTACGACGTTCGTCCATATCACTCAGTGTCTATGACCATCGGTTACGATCATATCGAGTGCCTCATCCAGGGAGCCTAACGAGACTTATGTGACCCGGAATCCTAGTTAGGGTTTTTATACCCTTAAGCCAGGTCTTAGCTTGATCACCTTTGGCTTACTTCCACCCACTAACTGCCTCGGCAAATATCGCACACCGTGGCAACCTATTTGGTGGCATGCACAAAACATGCCCCAGTGTACAACCGCAAATACCTGGAACTCTGCGCCTAACCTCAGCATTGCTCGTCCGGTTGCCCCACCAGATTCGTGCACTGCTGCGTAGACAGCGGCGTTCAAATACCGACAGTTTATTTTCGTCCTGTTTTCCTAATGGCCACGTTTCTGCCCCGCATAGCAGAACTGGCCGAACTGCCGCAGCATACACTTGACCTTTAGCAGACAGCCGGATGTCGCAACGGCTCCACAGATGTCCCAGTTAGGGTGAGGTTGGGTGTAGGACCAACTCAGTCTTGAAGTAACATTTTACACTTTAAAGGTGCCAAACGCATAGCGAACCTGGTTGCACGAGCACTCAAACTATCCAGAAAAGCTTGTAATATACCCGGATCTTTACTCAGTAGCACAATGTCGTCTGTATATTCTAGATGAGACAGCCTGCCACCTGGGCGTAATACCGCTATCCTCACACAAGGATAGGGCTGTTTCCATAATTACATCTATAACAAAATTAAATAGATAAGGAGAGAGAGGTAAACCCAGACGAACTCCACTTTCCGTGATGGAAAGTCCATTTAACAGTTGCGGTATACAGATATTGTTATCGATTGCTCTCTAACATCAATAACCTAGGCGAGATCGAGAGGAACAGATTGACGGTCCGTTCATGTTATAGTTGGTTGGTTGGTTGAATGAACTGAATTGAACAGTGTAGTTCCACGTGTATGCAGTTGCGCAATGTCTCGAAGAGTGAAACAAGCTGTTAAATTGGTTGTTTCTTGCGTGCTCCGTGCCCTACGATCCGAGTTTCGAACTCCACCGTAACTACCTCGTGTGAGTGGCAAATAGCTATGCCGCCGCCCGGTTCAGTACTACAACTATCCTAATGAGGCCCAATCAGATTTCAGTATTCTGAGATTAGTTTGTCGGGAACAGCAGTTTCTTTTGCTTATAGACCCTGTAATATACATAATTCACCATTTTGCCATTTCATGCCTACGTGCGTTTCCAGGTTTCGTTTTAACCGAGTTCTTCACCAAAACGGATGGTCAGACAGTATGTTGCGTCTCTCGACCAAACGGGCGAGCATACTTAAGACAACTGTGCGCATCCAGTTCAGCGCGAAGACAATTCACTCGGTTACCTTCTACACCAATACCTTCGTCGGATGGTTTGACAGGAGAAGAAGTACAACAACTGTTCACCGTATCCGATCTGGAAACCGAGAAAATGGATCAGGCCATAAACAACTACCTTGAACAGGTGAGAGTATTGTTGACGTTTCAAGTGCAGTGTTAGAGATTTTGATATTTGTATGTCATCTCCGTTAAAGTTTGACAAGGCTGCCCTGTATCCAAAGTTCTTTTCAAATTTGTCATAGAGGATTTTATGCAGAATGCCTTGTCCGGTCTAGCAAACGGTAGAGTAGAACTAGTCCCAGAGAACAGAGTACTTGACTTAGAATATGCTGATAACAACGCCATGCTGCGTGACAGTAAACAGGTTGTCCAAAATGCTTTGAACCTCTTGGCGATCGAGGTATCCAGTTTTGATATGCCCACACGCACCCTCTGTGGTGATCGGGTAGAACTTTTTGAGAGCTTTAAGTACCTCGGGAGCTCAATCGCAACTGCTGTTGGTCTTGGGGAGGAGATCACATCACTAATAGCGAAAACTACACATGTGGCGCCGTCGTGAAATCGGACTATTCCTTAAGAGAGGAATGTACATCGCCGTGGTTCGTAGTTTTCTGCTTTACGTTTGCGGGGCCTGTCCTCTCCGAGCGGAAGATTCTAATCGACTTTCTGTATTCGACCACCGGTGCCTGCGAAGCAGTCCTCGGGTCTGGCGGGAACATCAGGTGAGCACTAACAAGGTTCGTCGTCGTGTTTTGGGTGTGGGTAGTCGCTCCCTAACAGAATTAATCCTTCTACATCGCCTCCGATGGCTTGGTCACATATTGCGTATACCTGCCCATCGGCTACCTTTCTCTGCTCTCTTCGCATCTGTCAGGCAAGGCTGAAAAGAGAACCGCGGAGGTCGGACTATAGCTTAAAGGTATGCAGAAGCTGACTTGACTTTGGTTGGTGAAACCCGCCTACCAGGTTGGGGCCCAAGGCGTGAGGATTGTTGTTAGTTAGAGACACTGAGCTATAGGAGACATTGGAGCGAATGCTGTCCGGTCTGCCTATCAAAATCCCGTGCTGCGTAAAAAACGGGAAACTAACACAAAAATATCAAAATATCAATATCAAACAAACAAAACATTTGTTGTTCTAGGTAATTGCCATTTTTCATCTTAACCTTTTCAACTCGCTCTGTGTTCTGTATCCCAGTCCACTCATCCTGTGTTATTAATATTGTTATCATTGTTTTGACATTGGCAATTTGTCCGCAAGCCAGTGGTAAACATAATGCAGTAAATGAAAATAAACTCTATGGGGGGAATGAAAATGTTGACCAGAGCTATTGATCAAGCAAGTCGCGTTGGTATCCCTGGTCGAGGACCTCGTGACCAAAAAAATCAATATCTGGCGATACTTGACGATCCGAAAATAGTAGCTCATGCATCTGCTCACTTCTCATGTAAGTGGCAGGTATTTGTGGGCATCCTACCGTCCGAGATAACGCTAGTCAAGGAGCTACGTGTTATCGCTTCAGATCATCATCATCAACAACAACAACGTTCCGAATCAATCAAAAGCCTTAAGGTTCAAATTTAAGACCTGTAATAGGAAGAACTCAAACATTTAGTTTCTGCGGAACCAATGAAATTTCCTTGAACACATCATTGAATAGCATTGATTTCTTCCGAAAAATGAACCGTTAATCCTGTGGCTATCTTCCTGTATTACTGGGTCACATAGGTCCTGTTAAGCTCCCTGGCTGGGGACCTCGGGATGATCGTAACCGATGGTCACATAGGTCCTGTTAGGCTCCCTGGCTGGGGACCTCGGGATGATCGTAACCGATGGTCAGAGTCACTGAGTGATATGGCTGGGTGTCGCAACCAGTGGCGTTCATGCATCTTCTCAATTTCTTTGCAACCTTCGACCACTGAACTTCTTCATTTTCTTTTCGACTCCAATTTTAAGTTTCCTTTCTTCTATTCATCCAAGTGGGCAGTCAAAAGACACCAACCAAAACCGGGGCACGAATATGCGTGGTTAATGGTTGTTCAAACTGAACTGAACTATCTTCCTGTATCTCCATGTTGGTAGATTTTGGCAACCACTCATAAGTACCGCTGTCTACGTTGCATTGTTCGAGTCTGGTGGGATAACCAGATGAGCAATGCTTAGGTTAGGCGTAGAGTTTTAGGCATAATGATAATATTAATAATAGGTATGTAAATGACATATATATATATGCATGAGGAAATGAAAATTTTGACATAGGATTTTGACAGGTAGACCGTACAGCATTCGCAACACTGACTTCTAATCTGGGCCATATCTCTCAGCATGCATATCACCAAATAGGTTACCACGGCGAGCGATGTTTGCCGAGAGAGGTAGCGGTTGGAAAAAGGTCAAGGGTGGTCAAACGAAGACCTGGTATGAGGGTGTAAAAACCCGAGGGTGTAAAACCAGGAGACATGGTCGCACAGGTCCCGTTAGGCTCCCTGGCTGTGGAACCCGGGATCTTTGTCACCGATGGTTAGAGACACAGCGATATGGCTGGGTGTTGCAAATCGTGGCGCTCGTGCATCCACTCATCATTCTCCTAAACCACTCTATATGAATTCTCCATCTTCCGCTTGAATTTGCTTTCAACATTCTAATCTTCATTCTGTTCTTTTACCCAAATGGGGCACTGAAAGATAGCAACCAAAACCGGCGCACGAAGGTGCATGAGTAATGGGTATAAAAACTGAAACGGAATGATTCCATCATTCGACTGGGATTGTCTTTCCGACTACTGATTTCCGATTCACGTCTACTTGGATAACCGCATCATTCAGTTCAGTTTTTTCTTCCTAAATTGACTCCTTCAGGATCAATCATCCAAATGATTAGACTAAAGTCAGTAACGAGAACCAGTGTGAACGAAATAGTGTGTTATGTAAACTGGAATTTCTGTGCATTTGGTTTGTAAAAATATCACATTTTCCACCTTTCTTCTAGTTAACACATTCAGATTTGCAAATTTTGGAATCAGACTCCATCGAAGCGGATAAACTGGAGATTTACGATGATTTACTGGATAAATGGTACGAAAATTACAATGAATTAAACGTACTGGCAATTCAGTACTTCAACGAAAATAACAACACGAAAGAGGGTATGAGAAAGGAGGAACTGGATGCAAAAAGGTCACAAATGGCTACGCTTATTCACATTTGTAATTTACTACTAAAGGAACAGTAAGTAATTTCCTATGACATGGCTTCGTACATAAAACAATTTGAAAATATTTAGTGAATCTCCATCACAGACCGTTAAGACGCTTTGAATCAGATTACGACAGCTCTGTGCACGATCATAACCCATATCTTCTTCGGTTAGAAGGTTTTTACTAATTTTAGCAAAGCCGTGACACTGAAATCAGGTCACTATCTCCATTTTCCGTTCACTTTTATTCTCTGTGTGAATATTTTGAAGATGTTTTACTACGAATNCACTCAACCAATCTAATTAAAGGGACAGACTCATTAAGAACAACTTCTGAGGACAAAAGGTTATCTGATCTCATATCTGAAAACACATTGGAACCCCAGGTGCTTCGAGTAATGTGTAGCAATACACGGGCTAATTTCGGTGGTGAGCCGTATCAGATGTGGTTGTTTGAGCACGATACGAATTAGATGACTGTATTAGCTGATTGAAACAAGCGTTTTTCAAG